TTTTTTTTTTTTTGTCTTAGATACTCATCTAAATGTTATACACTTGCGGGTTTTGGCGGTAACTCAAACGGAAACAAGAAAACAATCGTTCCAGGGGATAGTCAATGTTGTTAAACAATTTATTTCAGTATGAGGGTTAGGTTTTAACATCTTCAATATTCTTATAATTTTTTATCTACAAATTTTATGCATGCATGTACTGAATTGTAAAGGATTTTTTTTTTTTTTTTTTTTTTTTTGTCTCAGGTGATTTTTAACGACATATCTCAATTCGAAAGACATCAATAACATCTTCATTCTATTAGGGGATCATTTTAGAGGAAGCGAACTGCATAGATTTTATTCAGGTATATTGGTTTTTAAAATATTTTTTTATTCTTTTAAACTTTGATTTATAGACACATTGATATGAGCTCTTGTTTTATGCTTAATAGAACATTGATCTTAATGTTGATGTTAAGCTTTTGTGCGTGCCGGTTGGTAACAAGTCATTTAAGCTTGATGCAGATATGTAAACCCATTTCATTTCTTCTACAACATATGCAAACCTCGCTAATAAACTGGCTACGACTCTAAATTTTTTTTATCCTTACTACTATATCAATTCCATTTCAAATTATAGGTGGAGACCCTAATGTTTGTTATATGCAGTACCATTTTTTATGTTGATGCTTACGTGATTGTTCTCTTTCTCATAATGCTGCACGCCTGAGGGATAACTGATGGTTGGTGGCGAAGGGCGGCGCAACTGCACTTATGAACCTCAACGGGGACGAAAAGGGTCAATCGAGGGCCTTGCTGAATTCCAAAATACCAGCAGTCATGGGCTGAGACGGCGACTAAAGGAAGGCTGACCGAAACTTCGTGCGGCTGACTCCAATAGCTCAAATCTATGGCAGCCCGACGATAGATTAACATGACAGCGCTACGCGTGGCGTCCAGATCTTGAAGTTGGCGGCAGCTCACAGGTTGAGAAAGGTGGTGGCTGGGTTCTCCGTGGGTGACTAATGAGAAGGTATTATACTGCAGAACTTTTGCTTAATGTCTACATTATTTACAGATGAAAGGGTGGAAAATTCAGAAAAATGAGACAATTAACAAGACTCCTACTGATTTGTTGAGATAGACGAGGGATCTACTCATCTTAGCCCAGGCGCTCGAATCTCAAGTGCGATGAGAATGTACCATTCCGACATTATTTTATGGGTTTTAGTGATTTTGGTAGTGTTTGTAGTCGAGATTGTGACGAAATTAGACTATTGGATTTGGAAAGAAATAGTCCTGTGGTTTACAATTGCTGTCCGCATTTTTTCTTTCTTTCAATTTTATTATAGTTTTTGTTAGGCCTATTGTTTTCTTATTGACAATTGTGTGAGTTGTGATTATGCGGAGTTATTATGCAGTAGAGGGGTAATCACTGCAATTTTTTTGTTCTTTCTCATTTTAGTTGTGATACTGTGTATGCAGGTGATGGGGTTGGCAAAGCTTATCTGAGAATTTAAAGCATGTTCTTCATGAAGACAGTCAATCTCAGCCCGTGCCAGATACCTGTAGACAGTCATTACACCACAAACACAAAAGTTCTGCTAATTTAGCTATGGTCACTATTTTTCTAAGTCTTCTCCCAGTGATCCTTTGACCCCATCCATGATGAATGATAATTTTTTTCGTCTAAGCAGCTTAGTGTGTAGGGACCTCATGTTTCAGACTATTATGCAATGATCAACTCTTTGGGTTTATTTTGGAGAAAAAATTATTTTAAGCAATTCTATGCTATTTTTTGGTGACAATTACCAATGGTGAATAATGTTCTATTAGTCATCTATTTCACAAGTTATCACAGTTGTCACATTTTCGCATCAACATAGGTTGGTTCAACAACAAAACAATTGTAACACAATGCAACGTTAAACCACATTATCGGTATTAATAAAAGGTGCGTATGTGTATTTTTATTTTTTCTTTAAATATTAGTTATAATTATACACTAGACTAGAGCCGGCTGTGCGTGCACAGCCGGAAGGCCAACTAGTAATAATATATATAAATTCAAATAGAAACCAAATTATAAGTTTTCAACAAAATAAATAATCAAACCAAACAGTACTAAATTGCACATTTCAACTCGATCTTATTTGTATTTGCGTTTGGTTCGTGTTACACTGCATCGAATCGAAAAAAAAATAGAATTTGTAAAACAAATAATCAAATGGTATTGCAACACATAAAAGAAAAGGCTAAACCGAGATCGAATCAAAAAATTCATACACAAACCGGACCGAATCAATCAAATTTATACACATTCGGTTCAGTTTTGCCCAACCCGATCCACATACAACTATTTAACTTACATTTTATTTTAATTTCTTTAGGAAAAATTATAAGTAAAACATGATAGGAGTATTGTTAGGCAGTATTTTTTTTTTTTATAACAAATGCACAATTCACTTAAAAATGTATTGGCCATTCAGAACTATATTACCCCTTGATAATAACAGCCACAAAATATAAAGATAATTCCTACAACAGCCACAAAATATAAAAGATAAGTTAAAACAAATCATACTCATGGGGAGAGAGAGAGAGAGAGAGAGAGAGAGAGAGAGAGAGAGAGAGGCACAGTGATTATTACAAAAACTCATGTACATAACCATAGTTCACAGTACCTTCACATTCGTAGTGCAGTAAAACCACTGATATGCCCAGATAAAACCTTAAAGTTGGATCCTCAAGAACCAACAACAGCAGGATAGATTGATTCACACAAACCAGTTAAAAAATTAAAAACTAGTTAAGAAGCTGAATTATTACTTCACACAAACCAGTTAAAACTTAAAACTACAGGCTGGATTATTACTTTAATCCGAACGCTTTCTCTTCTTTGCGAGATTCTCGAAAACCTGCTGCACATCCGCAGTCGTGATAGGCTTTGAGGGGTCAGACGACTCCTGATATTAAAAAGTAAAAACATAAAATAATTAAAAAATAATAATCATTTTCCACATTCATGAAGGAAATCCAACGACTTCATACATTTTCGAGCATTGGCAAACGTACCAGGAATGAAAATATCTCGTTCTTCATGTCTGCAATCCCACTCAGTATTTCCATCTTCTCAACATGGCCGAGATTATTGAGAAAACTCATCTCCGCCCCCTCCTGTTTCTGCATATTCTCGCTTCGCCTCTGCTTTGCCACCTTCTCATACTCGGCAATAGAATCCTCTTTGTCGAGCAAGAAGCTAATTCCATTCTGGGCATACATTTCTGAACATTTTCCGCAAGTGCAGAGTGTTTCCCTCCAGTTTTTAGAAAGAAAAAGCGGCTTGTTATTTTCGGTAGACGGTGGTACACCTTTCCCGACCAGGTGTTCGAAAATGCATTCGCTACTCTGGCCAGCAACTTCAGTACATTCCTTAGCTTCACCTTCCATATTGTTAGCCTCTGGAGGAGATGTATTGGAATTAACATTGCTCGAGCTGCTCCGTTCAAGGGGACAACTGCCATTCTCATGAGTGCCTGCTGATACCGAATTAGTGTTTTCCAAAACAGCCTTTTCCTTCAGGTCACCTGAAGTGCTATTATCTGAAGTATTTGGTGCTGAGATGATTTGTGGATAGTAACTCAAGAAAGAACAAAGTTTTGCACACCCCTGGCAGATAAAATCCTCGTATAGAGGCTCGCCTTCTTCATCCCTAGGGATCTATATTATGACCCCCCCAAAAAAAGGAATAAATAGAATAAGTTCAAGTTGTAGAGTTAAAGAATAAAAATGACAACATTTTACGCAGAAATAAACGGAACTGTCCCAGCAAATTACATGACAATGTATGAGATGAAAGAAGTTTTCTTGCCACCTCAGTAAAGTACAAATCTTATTGATGGTGGATGCCGAAATGATACATTCTCTTTTATGAGACATTAGAAAAGCCACATGCGTATATAAAAGGACAAGAAAATAAAAACTCAAAAAATTCGTGAAAAATTGCCTGAGAAATAAAAACAAGCTCACCGAACAACTAAGAGGATTCCCTCAAATAATTTGCCGCAAACAGGTGGATGAATGGAACTATATGGTTGTAAAATCACTTTAAGCTGAAGCAACAGGACATGATATCCAGAAATAACAATTTCTCTACTGACTACAAGTGTGTGTATAAGCCTGATACCCATATTTTCTAAAACACCATTTACTAAAAGAAAATATAATTGAAGTGCTGATTAGGCCAGTAAGACAACACGCATTAACTCTTACGCCATACAAGTTAGAATTGAGAACTAACGGTGTCTGACAAGAACACTTTTATCAACCAATATTTGCATCCTATGACTACAAATGCTGACAACACATGTACTTTTTATCTTTCCAGAAACAATGACAGTAAGAGATGCTAACCTTGAGATCGGGCTGAAGACCAATATGCTCCTCATGAAACCAGTCCTCACAAACACAACACTGAATCATCTCCACTTGTTCTTCGACATCTGGATCAGGGTATGGCAGATCACATGTGCAGTAAGTTCCCTTGAAATTGTGGTTGTACTTATTGGCTGAGTTCTCTACATCTTTGCTTGCCATGAGCTTGCAAAAGAACTCCCCAAATTTTGAGTTCCCACAGTCACACTTGAAATTTCTCTTGGTCCATAGTTCCAGAACCTAGTTCAAATACAAAAGTATAACAATCAAATCCAAATTATGGGTAACTAGATTTGCAAAAATTAAGATTATGAATGACATAAATGACATCAAATGAGCAACTGAAAATAGAAAAATATTCATATGTTTAGATGTCCTAATTGAAGTTTAATTGTCTAAAAACTTAAAATTTACACTAAGAAACACAGTAACAACTCGTACAAATATAAGAACAATACTATCAATAACAACTCATTACTTAACTTGAAAACTCATTTTCAACTGTTTTCCAGAGTTTTAAACTGATGTATCTTTGAATGAGAATACTAATTATCCAAATGAGTACCCACTAATCACATTATTTATGTAATGTTTAAATATCTGTGCCAAAAAAAAAAAAAACACTGGGAACGATAAGAAACATAAATAATAAATCATGGCATGTCAATCTCGCATGCAAAATTCTGAAGCAGGTCTCTGAAAGAAAACTGCAGGTGCAAACATCATGGAAGTCAAACCCTTGCTAATTTCTTGCAAACTCGCCCAGACAAATGATTGGTGTTTAACAAACTTTATAGTAAAAGAACAAAAGTTACTGTGACCTTACGTTTACCAAACTTGTTAGTAACAAAACAAAGTTACAACCTTACACATACCTCATGGCCATCATGGCAGGATAAAGAACAAGCAGTGCAAACCCCGGCGTTCCCATCAGGTGTGCAGGTCAAACAGGAGAAAATAGCTTGCCTCTTAAGGTATCCTTTGTTGTAGGTACACTCCTTACCTTCATCGCCTCCAAGAACCAAATCCGCTTCCTTTACAACACATTTATGTGGAGAAAATGAAGGAGGAAAAAAGATAACCAGTCAAAAACAAATAAAAAAGAATACCAGTGAAACAAAATAAGTTAACAAACAAACTAAATAACACCAGATCAAGTGAATCATTAAGTATATGTGGGGAAATCTCCCACTAAGCATAATAATTGAGTTTGAAGTGTTTTTTTTTCCTTCTTTCAGAACAAATTTTCCGGTAACAATATTGAAGCTTATTTGTCTGGAAGCTAATCTTAAAACAAACTAGATTGAGAGCTGGCTCTAAGTTTAACTAGTAGATTAGGCTCAACTTGTTTAAATAAATAGATATGGAAAACAATAGTAACAGTCTTAAAACAAACCAGCTCATGAGCTGGTTTTCAAGCTCAAATAAGAGCTTAGCCTTTATTTAATAAATGGAATACAAAAATCAAAATTGAACATCTAACGAATAACTCTGCAAGTTTGAAGTATTAATTGTATATCTACCCCTACTAAAAAATTCAACATCCGCCCATAACTGCATTCTGCAGATTTCTTGCTGCTGAAAATTAGATCCAGCTCAATGGATCTCCACGATATATCCTTCCTTTGGGATTTCACCACAAAAATAAACTAGCATTTCAACTGCAATTAATGCTTACTTTACCCCCAACACAAATTTGTTAAGCATGTTCATCTTGCAGGTTCATAAACCCTAGAATCGTAAGCCCATGTTCCCTTCTTTACTAAATAAGCATAATAATCTTTAACCGCAGAAGGAAATCACTCACCAGCTCCTCTTCCTCAACAGCTTTGAGGTAATCGCCAATCGAAATCGTGGGCTCCGCATCAACTTCGTCGTCGAACGCGTCAGCCATTTCCTACAAACACCCCCACCAAAACAATTCAAAATCAACTCCATTGTCGATAGAATTCCCAACCACAGACAAAACAGAAGTAAATAGCACAAAAAGCTTCAAGAATCTACAGCAACGATAATCGTACGTACGTAACGAGGAAAGAGCCCTGTACTGTAGGGTCCCAAAATGGGCAGATGTGGAAAACGACAGTGAAATTACCTTCCGGGTGACGTTTAAGGTGGTGAGATTTTTTCAGTGTCGAGCGTCCGAATGCGAATTACAGTGTTAGGGTTCCTTATATTCGAAAGGGGCAAATTTTGGCAGCAAAAAAATTGGGATGTACTGGGATTTTCCCGCCAATTAAGGGCCCAATTTGTGGGCTACGGGAAATGTAAAAGAGTCGAGTCAAGTTATCGAGCCAATAATCAAAGTCGAACGGCTTGGAATATGGGATATCGGCAAGTTATCGCGGAAGTCGACAATGCTAATGTTGTAGGCTACGCGAACAACACAGAGGACATAAGTGGTGTGCATTCGAGCTTGGTCTTAGGTATACGAGAACTACTCAGTCGGGAATGGCAGGTTAAGATCTCGCATATTTTTCGAGAGGCGAATTTCGCAGCGGATTATTTGGCGTCTCAGGCAGCCTCAGTCTCTCTCTGTCTTCATCGTCTTTTAGTTCCACCATTCGGTGTCATTCCGTGGCTAGAGCACGACGTTAGAGGTGTCTCTTATCCACGAAACGTCGGTCACTAGCTCCGTCTAGCACTAACATCTACTTTGTACCAAAAAAAAAAGTCGAACTCGATTCATTTATCAATATTAATAATAAGTCATGATTCCGATTTTAACAAGTCAACTCGACCATTGATGAGCTGAACTACGAAATTTTATATAAAAAGCTATCTTTTTTCTTAACGAGTTGGACTCACAAGCGACTCGTTTTATTTAATAGATATAGATAGAGTAACTCGATAATAATTAATAAGATTATGCTTTATGATATTGTACACTTTTTTCTTATGTTTGGATAAAAAATGGAATAAAACATAATTTAAAATTGAAATTTATAGTCATTTCAATATACATCTATATATATATAAAAGCAAAGCAGCTGGAAAAAAATTATTTTTCCCTCCAAAACTACATTTATTATACTGAAATAAATTTTGCTAACTTCTATGTAATACAACCATAAACATAATTAGTTTTTACAAAAATAAAATAAACACTTAATTATGTATATTTATTACTTATTAAATAATTACTCTCTTATTCCCAAAGCTACATTTATTACACTTTTTTTAGCTTTTATGTAACTCAACCATAAACATAATTAGTTTATATATATATATATATATATATATATATATATATATATAATTATTTGATATAAATTTACTTCAATATTCTCAAGACCAAGTAATTATACCTTCGATTATGTTGAAGTGGAAGACTACATTAATATTTTCTTCAATAACATAATTAGTTTTTAAAAATAAACACTTAATTATAAGTATAATTATTTATTAAAAATTATTATCCTATTCTCAAAGCCAAATAATCTCACTTCAATTTTGTGGATGGCCACATTAATTATTTTGGTCTTTTTTTGTTTTCAAGGTAAATGGGAGTTCTTTTTTATATACTAGACTTTTTATTATTTTCTTCATAGTACAAACATAGGACACAATCTCATTTAAATATTTAATTTAAACATAATATATATATATATATATATATATATATATATATATATATAT